GTAGATGTAAAAGACACCGTCAGTCTTGATGATAAAAATTCTTCACGTTATAAAACTATATATATATATATATTTTTTTTTTTTTTTTTTAATCCTTATACTACATCTTTTCTGAAAAGTTACAAAAAACTAAAACAGTTTTCAAGCATATAGCTTTTTTGTGATTAAGAAAATTTCTGTTTGGCTTTTTAAACTTTTTTCGAAATTAACTTTTTTTACAAACTTTACAACTTTTTTTACAAAATCTCTATCGTAATTAATGATACAGGCGTATTCCTAACATTTTAATGTTCAAATAAAAAAAATATATTAAAAAATATCCACTTTTTCCGAGGGAATATAGTATTCTAGGATTAATAATGAGATAATTAAAGATTGACGTATGTGTTTGTGCTCTAAATGTATTCAATTACCTTTGTATAATACGTATCATATTCCTTTGTAAGGTCGCATTTACCGCAGTGTTAACCACTGCGACAGCTTAAATTGGTAAATCGAAAGGGACAGCTCATCGGCCGATGTATTTAAATGATTGAAATCCGTTGTGTTGCGGCGACGTCGGTATCGCGACGGAAATTTGCAAGCAACCAATTCGGTTCTATTTCGAATCGGTATATCATATGTGTTCCTCCAAATGTTCAATCAATGCAGATGTTGGTTTGTTGCAAACTCGATTTAGCCAGCAAGGATCAATATCTCCGCTGTATTAAGTACTGTAGATAGTTTGTAAGCATAAATTGAATTTTTCTCGAAACATAATGAAAACACAGCAAACTGGAAAGTTTGAAAATCTGTATTTTATAATTTCTTTCTAAAAGCTTTCAATAAACTCCATTAATTCAGAGGCTTATGTTGAGAAAAAAATTGTAAAAATATCAAATACTTTTTTACATACTATCCAGAGTATACATATTACCCTAGTAAATATCAAAACTCTCATATCCGCTACCTTCTCATGCTCTGATGTTCGTATACTGGGAGAGAAGATATCTGAAGATGAGTAAATATTTCTTTAGTAGGTACTATAATAGCATATTTATTTAAATTAAAATTTTTTTATTCAAATAGAATAAATAATTGCTTTTATGAAAATCTAAGATTTTTTAAAAATTTTACGAAAGTGTATATTTTCTTATTTAAGAAATACTTTATATTATAGTATATAAATAAATATACTGTTAGTATCTATCAAATAAATATTTACTATTTCTTAGATATTTTTACTCTCAGAAAGTACGTAAAAATCGGCATAATAATCTTAATTCACACATAAAATTACATTATTTTAAAGTTTTCCGTAAGAAGTGCAATTATGCTCTCTAAGAAAAATATAACTTTATGTGTCAAGACTGTTATGCCGGTCGGTATGCATAAAGACTCGTCAAATTGCGTTATACATTTGCAAATAGAAAGATTAAAGTTCAGTACTCCGTGGATCAGTAATTCCCGATGAAATTGCGGTCAGCGGAGGAACTTTAAATCGCACTTTCGCCGCGATAATTATCGGAGCCATGACGGCGCGGTCTCCTTTATTCGGAGCCACCGATTTGGGCCGGGCAAAAAAGTCATCGACTTAAAATCGGCCGGTCAATTAGCACTAATTAATCGTTCGTGCGCGACGACTTCCTAGGGCGCGCGGTGCTCTAATTTCTTTTCTCCTCCTCCTTCTCCTCCTCCACCGCGTCCATAAAATAGCCGCCCCTCCGTCCTTTCTGGATCGTTTCGACGCTATATATAGTTCGGTTTCTGCTGAATAATACATAAACCGCTTTTAAAATCAAAAAGTTGCTCGTCGTTTTTCCGAACTTTTTTTTTTCCATCCGCTACGGTCTCACGCCGCTAGGACCGGTCGTGTGAATACTTAAACGCACCCAGCTGCCACTTCGTGTTATAACGACCACTTTTTTTGAGGCACACCACCCTCTTTCCTTCCGCGTTTTCAACTTATTTTTTCTTTTACTCCGGATCGATAGAGAGATAGACGACATGGGCCTCCCTTTTATACCGATATTCCTCGGTGATGCGAGCAGGCACCCGACACCGGAGTGAAAGCGGCAAGAAACGATTACGCGGTCTAATTAATGCCTCCCCTCTCGTAATTACGCAAGAGATCGCTTTCCCGCCGATAGCTTACAGTGACCTTCATTTTTTGCGCGCGATAATGACTTTGACGGTATAAGCGATTCACCCGGCCACTTTCGCCACTCGGATGATCGAATTCATTATTGATAAGTGCGAAACGTCGGTATCCAATAAACTTTAAAGTTATGAACCGAAGAAAATATGATTAACGATGAACAGATAATTGTTAAAAGAAAATTATTAAATGATCGCTGGTGATAAATTCGTTCGATTGGAAATCTGGTTCAGATATAAAGCAATTGCTTCTTTGTTTTTTTTACTTCATCTTTTTCCTTCCCTCATTCCTTTTCAAAACGAGATTAATTTAAAAATATAAAATATGTTTCATCATTTATCTTTTTTTGTATTTTATAAGGTCAGGTGCATATCTGTGCATGTTGCTCATATTAAAGTGCGCCGTTTAATATTTCGAAACACTGTTTATGTATCCTACACGGAGAGAATTTTATAAGGAAAATTATACTTTTTTATAGGGTTTTGTAAACGCGAAATATATCGACATTCTGCAGTAATTCACTATTCTTTCATTTCATATGTACCGCTTATATTTTAGGGACTAAAATGTATTATAAATTTGCTATGAAGAAATCTGCTGTGTTTCTAACGAAATTTATCATGACCCTTACATGATAGACTTGACCGACAGTCTATTTCTGGATTATTAAAAACATACTAAAATTGAAAAGAATTTATATGAAAGGGAACTATATAATGTTCTCTCCATGTACACCTAAGTAAAATTATATTAATGTTTTGAACATACTCTGAACATTTTTTCTTTTATGTGTATACGCGCCACATGATAAATTTCCCTTTGTCCTTCCCCGATGCAATCCACTTTTTTCTCCGCTTTTCCCTTTTCTTCTCTCACCATGACTTTAATTTTCTCCGGAGAGCCTGTCGCGCTATGTCGATGTTATAAAAAGCCTGCATGGGAGAAAAAAGATTACGTAGCTCAATTATTCCCTCGTCTTCCCGCATGGTAATCCTTAGATCCGATCGAGTCGTGCTCGGAAGGACGGACGATTTCTGGTGCATAGGACGAGGTACTTTGTTTCGCATTAAGAATCGCTAAACGTGCTTCTTGCCGGGCCCTTTGAATAAATTTTGTGGCCTGCGTTTCGAAATGCCGATTCAACAACCGTGCCGGAAGTCGCGGAGTGATCGCATCGTCCGTTGCGTCGGCGAAGTTATAACTGAGAAAAGTTCTTCGTCTTACAAGGTGAATGCAATTTAAGCATAGACGCGGCCGCCTTGTAGATTATCGACCGAAAATTTATATGCGGGTCGCGATAAACCGCTTTTCATCGTTTTACAGTGGGCGTTCGTTACGCTAAGTGTTTGAATATGGTAGAGTTTTCATTTAACTTTGTGTTGCTTACCTTAGACTCGTTTAAATAGATCCTCGAGAGATATATTAATGAGATATACACGGAGAAAATATTGCACACGGAAAAGAAAATTTAATTAAATCAAATAATATTTGTAGTAAAATATAAACAAACTAGACGGTTGCCAGAATTCTATTCAAATCAACTAAAAATTTCAGCGCGCGCAGTATCGTGCATTTATTATTTCATTCTTTTATTAAAATATATTTGAATATCATGCAGAGTTAAAAGACACGCATAAAAATTGGCCGTAAATTTACAGCAAATTTTATTCAAACCTTCACTACTATTAAATTTATATAGCACGTAATAACAATGGCCACTTTTTAAATTATATCTTGTGCAAATGAACAGGTAGTCGCGAGCAAAATTTACATCGCGTGCTATCCGAAGATTGCCGATCGATGGCATGGTGAAAGCTTTCGCAAAATTTGATCGAACGATTCATTCTCAATGCATTTCTGACACGCGAGGTCGCCGGCTGTTCAGTTACAACAAACGATTATTATACATCGAGCCGGTTGTTAAGCCTCAAATCCAACATTTTCCTCGCGCAATTAGATAAGAACGCACGTCGTCCATTTCTCCCCGTTTCGCCCCGCACTCTTCAATTGCGCGAGGAAGATCTCGAGCTCGATGCACGATAATCGCCCACGATTATTATACATCAAGTTCAGGATCTTCCTCGCACGATTAACCGAGAACACGCGCCATTTCTCCGTTCTCACGATCGAAGCACGCTCGATGTGAACGTTTACCGTGCTCGACGCAAAAATATCTCTCAATCTCTCTCGCTTTTTGTCGAAAGTGTAACGTTATTGTCCTCTCTCGTACGTAAATTCTAAAAATCATACTGGAAAAGCTACCTATTGCAAATTTTCAATTTTCCTCTTGCAATTTCAAACATAACAAAGAAATTAATATTTTTCTTTCATTCGCTATATATTGCCCAGTATATTTAGATGCATTATACTGAGAGAAAAAATATCTAAGAAGTAGTATTTATTTGATGGATACCAACAACACACATTCATTTATACGAATATAAAATATTTTTCAAATAAGAAAGTGTAGGAATTGAAATAGTACTTCTTAAATTATATTCCTTAACTTGAGTGTACTGTTATTTTTGTTGATTCGCAATGTTCATGGAAAAAGCTATTTTGTGAAACGTAACATAGGAAGTTTTTCTTCTTTCAAATAAAAATATAATATCTGAGATACAATAAAACACATAAATAACACAAATTTTTTATCAAATACCTGAAGGTTCCAGAAATTGAAATGAATCAAAAGAACTGTTGTGTGAGTAAAATCATATATTAAATATACACATTATTCACAGTAAACTAATACTAGACAGTTGAATTCATAGTTTAACAATACCTACATGTAGAAAGCACTTATTTATTCTATTTAAATAAAAGGATTTTGATTCAAATAAATATGCTGTTAATTTTCCCACCCTCAAATAAATATTTACTAACTTTTAGATATTTTTTCTCTCAATGTATGTAGATACTTTGAAATATTTTATTATCATATTTTATTTATTCCGTGGTCACAATATAATAAACGCATTTTTGCACTTCATGTCGCATAATGTGCTTCCGATACTCTCTTCGTGTTGAATCGAGGGAAAGTTCTCTCACGTGTGCGTGTGCACTCACGTTACTACATGTTCTCGTCTCAACGCGTCGATTTCTCGGCAAGCAGCTCTCATTTATTTTGCTCCCGCTTCGTGCGTTCGCAACGTAACTCAATCTTCTCTCTTCGTAGGGAGACTCGTGCAACACCGTCCTTTTCGTCCTTTCGTCTTATTCCGTCGCCTGTCTCGTCCAACCGCAATCCTCTCTCCTCGATCTTTCCTCTTCTTCTGCTCATTTTCGCAAAAATACGCGGTGACGCAAGGGTCACTGGGCAAATGTGTTGCACGTACCTGGTAAAAGACCGGCAGGGAAGCGTCAGTTATTTCGTCGTAATATGTGAAAGAAAACGTGTAACTAGTTTTGACCGATAGCTCAGTAATGTCTACCGCGGGTGTCCCGATGTAATTACGAGATATTAATCAGTGCAGAGTGAAACGCATTATGTCTTTATCGATTTATCCCGGATAATTCGTCGATAGTGGAAGGAAGCAGTAAAGTATTACACGATAGGTCTTCATATATCACACTCGCTCATAGTCAAGATGCGCGAAGATTATTAACTCATTATGACTTGGCATATAGCGTTTGAGTTAATCATTATACGCGGTAAACTAGTGAATTCGTTGCCCCGCGAAACCATCATACCGACATCGACGCGAAACTTACACACACTGCTGATTACCGACCGTAGAACAGCGCGCTGGAATTTTAATGGATTGTGGCTCGCGCGTATCTAGCTGCACATTGAAAGTGATTGATCGATCAGATGCGGTTTTCTAGTGGGAAAAGCTAAAAGCAACGCATTTTCACGCATTTCGATGTGTACGTTACATCTACCGAGAAATGAATACTCTCGAGTGATAAAGATAATTCCGAGAAGAGACCTGAAGATGCGTGGCGTGCAAACGACTACCTGCGCAACGATATTTATGCCGTTTTTCCTCGGGAGCGCACGCCCATTAGCGATGCAATAAAAGTCATGCTATATATGCCACGCCACAGTTCGCTCGTGGTAATTAATGTTATGTTCCCGGCGGCTCTTTATATTTAAATCTAGACGATATCTCGTGCGGCAAGGCGCGAGCGAACAAGATGAAATACGTAAGGAGACGAGAGCGAAACGACGGGATGGAAGAAACGAGCGTGGCCGGAAGAGCGCAATTGTGGCAGCCTCACGGAAATTACGAGCTTAAAAGAGGGCACCGGTAAGGAGTGGAAGAGCTGGGGGAGGGCGGGGGAGGAGGGAATAGGGGCAGGGATGAACACCCCTCTCGAAACTTATACGAAATTAGATTTTCAATTCCCCGCGGCCGGCGCGACCGCTCGTTGCTCTTTCTCTCTCTTTCTCCTCGCACTGTTCCAAATTGCGGGTGAAAATAGAAACGCCGCTGCGACGAGCCTTAAGCGGATGCAATCCTTTCGCAGGCAGGATTGCAGGTGGGGAGAAAGAGAGAGAGAGAGAGAGAGAGAGAAAAAGGGAGGGGGAGGAAACGAGAAAGAGAAAAAAGTCGCTGCATCCGCGACCACTCGGCTTTATTTACATTCTCTTTCGGGTCGGGGCGCGCTATCTCGGCGCCACGCGCGAATTGAAATCGCGGAACTAAGTCGCAGAAAAATAACCGCTCGTGGATACTTTCCCGTCGGCAGTCTCGCGGATTTTTGTGTGCGCGCGAAGTCGCATTATGGAAGATAAACATCCAGATTGGATGACAGCTGTACGGACTTCGTTGAAACCTCGTTATCTTGTAATTCGCGAAAGCGCGAGGTATGTAATGCCGTGTGTTTCGCGCCGTCAAAATATACCGCGACGGGTAGCTTCCAGGAAACTCGTAAAATTTGTTGGCTTATAACACGAAAGAACGACAGCCGAAAAAACCGCGGGTGTAATGACGGAAACGTTAGGAAGTATTAACAGCGCGCGAGAGGGAAAGAGAGAGAAGGAGTAATTTGCATGCGGCAGGATTTCGCGATTGTGCCGCGTTTTTCGATGTCGCTCGGTGAATCCGGTTCAACGAGATTAAAGGACGGACGATTCGATAACGCCGACGACATAAAACGCGGCTCGTGCAAAAATGAAGTTTCCGAGTTTCAGACAGGTGCGCGGGCGGCTTTGTGACGTGTGGACACACTGTCACAGTCGATGACGAACAGACAACGCGATGCAACGCGCGTACCTACGAATCCGCACGAAAAATCGTTTGTTTCAGATTTGCATAATTTACCATGTCGCGACAGGAAACGCCAGCTCGTTCAGAGAAATCTATATTGACACAATTTATGGCAACCAACGCCCGTTCCTCTCCTTCGTATTTTTGTATATTCACGTATAAAAAAATTTGAGAAGGAAAAATCGCTATTATAAAACCGTGCAGATTCTAATTAATCAAAACACGCAATTTGCAAAGTTGGTATCGCGAATTCGGAATTTGGTAGCGTGCGAGTGTATTTTTATCGGAGAATAATTGTCCCAATTCGCAGAAATGCTGTGAAAGCCTGAACCATCTCTCGCACCGCAATGCGAAATTTCCGCTAAGAGAAATCCGAACAATCCACATTGACGTGAAATTATCCCTATCGCATTGTCACGAACGTGTGATGCAATTTTCCAACATACTTCAAATTGCCTGCATTTTGCAATATCGCCGAGACCGCATCGGCTGCGTTCGTCAAATGGTGAAATTCCCGAATGATGTAATGCCGTAAGTGTAAAATACATAAATTGTTTAAAAATAAAATTGTTACGCGCAGCTGTTGACTCTTGACCTTTCTATAAATGTATTCTGATAAAATATATTCCGCGAAAACAGAAATTATTAATTTTTCGTAAAGAAGGACAAGAAGAAACTTTCAGCTAAGATGAAAAGCATGGGCAAATTTACGATAGACACGATTTCATTAAGTGTTGCGCGTCGTGATTATTGTTTTTCATTACATTTTTCATTTTTAGTATATAGTTTCAAGTATGGTAGGAATATCAGCTGCTGAGCTTGTTGCCACACCTCTTGGTGACTTAGAATTAATTGTACCTTCTTCAAGCGTTATTTTGTCAGTTAGCATAGCGTGCAATCAAATATTATTACTATCGTTATCATCAACCCTCCGAGTGAGGGTTGATCGCATTTTCGCTACCTTCATAGTGGCAATCAGGTTAATTAGTATTTTCCTCGATTTTTCTCCTCTTGAAGTGCTCAAAAGAATTGTTAAAATTTATGGAAACTTTCCTCACCCTTCTAGTTGAACATCACATAGCTTTCTTGTGAAAAATAAGTCGTCAAGTATTTTAGTTCTAATGATTTTTAAACACACAAAAAGTTCTGAAAAACGAGCACTTCTTAAAATGACCCGGACGCAGATGCTCTTGATTGCTACTCGGAGGGTTAATATTATCGCTCTAATAGCGACCGGAAGAAATACAACTAACGCATCAATACACCAGGCTATCCTTTTTTAATGTTAAACGCGCACATCGTGCTTTACGCGCGCTGAGCATATAATAATAAACCAATTAACCCATTATAAACGTAACCACTAATTCAAAATAAATATCGTCTGTTGTAACAATGTGCTCGCGAATGCACCTATGAATCTATCTAACGAAGTGCGGAGAATAATGAACGGTGTATAAAATATCTCTACTCCTTTCGCTGAGTAAATAATCATTTCACATGCAGTAATTATCAGATAATAATTGTAGCTCTTAATGACATATTCAATTAATGAACTGAACCAATTATTTTTATCATATCCTGTTGATTGCTGATCATTATTATTTATTAGTTGATTAAAGTTATTCCGTACAAATGTTTGACCTACAAATTTGATTTGCAGCAACTTGCACCGCGCACTTGATTATTTGTGCGGCCACGACGAAACTATATCCTGCGTAACGTAAATATCATACAATATTTCGCGTTTACACAAGTGTGTTCGTAAATATCTCCGAGAGAGAAACAATAACAATCAAAATATCTTACTTCTATTAAACAAAAGTGTACGTTCCGCTGCAGTAGCAGTTCAACTCGGCCAAATCAAATGTTGACCTGCTTCAATATAGTCATAACCAACGGTCGCGCTCTCGATCTCTGCGAAATACCGCTTGCAATCACGTCGTAAACCAACAATCGAACTAGCTGCTGAGAAAGCGATGTATCCATTACTTAATTAATCTCTAGATATATATATATATATATATATATATATATATATATATATATGTGTGTGTGTATGTATAATTTCAGCTGGACAAACGTGTAAATCCATGAGGTAGTCGAACCAATCGACAATGCGCTTGAAAGTTAAATGTATTTAATTGAATTGATAGAGAGTTCATTTATGAGGCGGTCGGGCACAAAATAATAGTCGGATTAAACTTAACTATTAATACAAATTCCGATATAAATCCCGATAATTTTTGGCCAATTTGCGAAATACGCAATATCACAAGTATCTGAACGTGTAATTTATGAAGTAAGCTATAAAATCAGGGCACTATAACAGCTGGCTTTTCGGAGATTATTAGCTGCATTAATATTATATATCCACTTTAATGTACAGCTAAAGTCGGCCGATTTATGCCGACTGTAGTCAGCACTTTTATTATCTCTTCCAATGACGCAAATGGCAATATAAGTCACATGTTACGATGTACACGCGATGTGATCTAAGACGCAGTGAAAGTGAACAAACGACAGTCCGTCTAAGGCGTCTAATACTATTTGTGAATATTACTTACGCGTGCACGCACGCACACACGAACGTCTCTTGCAATACGCTATATTACTACGGAATAAGATGTACTTGTACTTTATCGATCAACGCACGCGCGCGTGGTCCGACATTGTGTGCGCAGAATTAGATTTGTCATTTCGTAGTCACGCTTTCGCGAACATTTGCAAATCAGATTTAAATTACCATCTTTCGACGCTCTGACAAAGTGGCGTTAAATCAAGCAATTTACGCGACTCTCCGAGGGAGAATCTGTCGAATTGCGCGGGTCAGTTGACTGTCCTTGACGTCATATTGGCTTTGACAAAGCGGTCCCGCGGCATTCCCGACAAGGTCCTTTATCGAAGGCGCGATAAATTATGCGCTCCTGACGCCTAAATTAAAGTCCCGCACTTCTCGAAAATCCGATACCGCGCGTGCTGAATAACTCGACCTTTTCCGCCAACTGCTTTGCATTTCTAATCCGCATTCTTTGCCAATAAACGGATTATCGCGAAAATATTCGAAAACCAATAAATACTGAAACTTTCTATCGCTTTTATATCCAAGGCACATGTTTATCGCTGAAACATATTTATACGTATGTGTACAGCCATTCTCGTAAATATCCAATGAATAAGTGAAGATAAAAAGGATTTAGTCAAGCGGCAGATTAGCGCAATGTCGTTGAAATCGTCGTTAGAAAGTTTAAAGAACTTGCAAAACGATTGCGTTTGTGTAAACGTGCAAAACAGAGAAGGTATTATTTTAATAAATCTTACCGCAAATCTCATGCGAGACGAAGAAATCGGGTTATATCGGCGGACGGGGCAAACAAATACGCGGAAACGTAGAGTGACAGCGAGGGAGAGCGAGAAGAAGCCTATTTCGCCGGTATCCAAGGCCACGTCATGAATGCGAAAACCAAGGGGAGGACGTGTAAGTTATAGCCGCATTATTTTCACCACGCTAGAGTCCCATAGAGACGCCCCTTTCTCTCTTTTTCTTTTCCTCTCCCTTTCTATCTTCTTCCTACTCGTACGGCGACGCTCTAGCTCTCTTCCTTTAAGCATATATTTCCGGGACGCCGACGTCGTACGCTATTCTTTTGTTTATTGCGCTGTGCAACGACACAGGAACAGCCTTCGACCAATCCCCGCGTTTCCATAGCTTCGCATATAGTGCCGTAACGAAAGATCAGGGCTCTCGTCGCGAACTGCGCTGAGGAAATTGAGAAACAGAAAAGCACGTTGCAATAACTATCCTAAAGATCTATTTATGAAAAACAACACCATTCGTGCACAATCTTTCACGCGATAAAGCTATTAAAAAAAAAAAAAAAAACCACACAACATGGTAGATAGATAAAAAGACGGTGTTTCAATGATTTGGCATAAAAACGATAGATGTTACATGTGGACATATAATTAACATCTGAGTAAGGTAAGAAGGTATTATTTCGAATCTTTATCTTTTCTGTTTCCTGCTGTGCCATTTCACAAATTTAAAGTTGCAAAGGCTCTCCTGATTATTCCAGCAGTGTTAGCGGAAAAAATGTTAATGGGGTAATTTCAGGTTGCCGTTTCTCCCGCGGGCATTTTCGAGTCACGAGACTGCTACGTTACCGCCGCGCGAAAATAGAAGAGCCAGGTATTTTCTGCCGGGATAAAGAATAATAAAGCAAAGCCGGATATTCTCCGCGATGATCTCAGACTGTCGCGGATTCTCTCCCGGAATTTTGACGCCGGATGGAAATCGCATATGCAGATATTTCAGAGTCAGATCCTGGAAAATTACAACTCGCCATATTAACGTACTTCATGATTATATATTGGCATAGAATTACGTTATCATATATACGTATATAATCCGTTGCATACGTTCGCCGCTCATTAGTCAAATCGTGCATCGTATCGAGCTTAAATGAGGAACAATATCCATTAACGGGCGCTCCCTCGCACACGTATCCTTGCGGTAATTAATAAACAATGGCGCGCTATACTCTATATCCCGCGGTTACCTCTCGAGGAGAGGTTCCTTGACTTCCGAACAAGAACGCGAAAGTTACACAAAATAAAGGAGTTCGGCGCGCTTGGCTGTGTAGATATAAGCGTGTAGATATACGGAGACGTATGTGAGTACACCGAGAGTGCACTCGTGAACGGAAGACGGAAGCCTCTAACTCGGTGCCCGGGAGTTTGCTGAGAGGGTTTGGTAATTTGCATAACATGGCGAGTATATGGAGGATAATCTGTGATAACTCCTTCCGCGAAAGGCACTGCTTATCGCTAAGTAATAACACGATAAAACAGTTACGTGCCTCGCTATATAAATGTCGATGAGGAAACAATTTCTCCCGTCCGAGTGGTGACTATTTATCTTCGTAACGCGCGGGCGCGAGCAGAGTTTCATAAAAAGAAGAATCCCGCAGAGTGAAAAGTCACGGTGGCTAAGATTGTTTACGCATCCCCGAACTTGCTAATCTTTTTCTCCCCCAACCACTGTGTGTATGTATGTGTTATAGGAATAAAAACAATTACGGTTATACCGTTAAACTTTCTCAGCTGTCCCTTTCCCGGCGCGAACAAGTGAATCTCTAATTCGATTTATTATAGTAGCTTGTCGCGCGTAGAGCACTTACCGACCATGCGAGTTTGTGGACACCGTCGGAAACTCCCGGCTCTCACGGAGCATTTACGAAAGCCCATGGAAATTGATATACACGTGTGTATTGTGGACAAGGTTATCCACACAAGTACGTTTTACACGTGCGTCGTAGCTTCCACGAGTCAGCCGCGACTAAGAGAAAAGTTCGCCCGGTTACAGTCGTCCGCAAGTTTCGCTCGCGCAATGGACTGCAGGAAGCCGCGAAATTGTAGTCGCATGCTCGCCGTCGAGGACCGTTAGGGGTGGTTTAAACTGCGATACGATCGGCCAAATGTCACGCCTCTTTCCAGCGCGCTATGGTTGGAAATTCATATTCCTCTCGTATACAAGTAAATCAAATTCTGCGTGACGCTGTAACATGTAAATTTCCCCAGGAAACGACCCTTTGTTTAAATATTAATAAAACGGCACTTCGCAACTTGATGCCTCTTTCTGCTCTCCCGCGCGAACTCAGAGATGTACGAGAAAGCGGCGGAATCACATCCTCGCGCACTCTTCAGCCGCACGCAGAAGAGCACCTAAAACGTTACCGTGAGAATAGCGTCGTAAATCGCGCAGCCACGAGAAGTCGACGGCCGCGCTCTCGGACTGGCCATAATTCCCGCACGACCGACAATTTATAATCCATCGAGAGCCGGCGCGTCTATACGGTGGAATATGGAGCGAAGCTGGGCGTCGCGGCGCGCGGCACCGCCGTAGTTTCCGCTTTTCTTTTATCTGACGTGCGTTCGCCGCGGATATCCGTGTGCACAATGGACCGCGAACACACTCTTTCGACCCCGGCCGGTGATTTTGCCACTCGCGGGGATACTTTACAACGGGGAACGCGGAGATAAATGTGTGTCGGGCGCGCGCACTCGCTCGCGCGTGTCGCGGCTGGTTGGACAGATGAATGATGGAAAGCCGCGTTTTCCGATCCCGAGACGTTGCCGCGCATGGCTTCACGCTCAACAGCACGTAGCGCGATGTTAATCCTTTTAGCACTTCTCCCGGGTTCTCGTTCGTTAACTCCCTCGCGCTAATGGACGCTTTGCGTCCCGATACCGTCCGTCCGGCTTCTCGCGCATGAGATACGTCACGTTTCTTCTTTTTCTCCATTTCACGATGAGAACTTACAAATTCATACTTGTGCCTGATTCCGCACAGGAGACATTCACACCCGTGCACTCTAGTGTATTGGGAAATTTACAGTTGATACATACGAAAGAACTGTGCCTGATACTCCGCGTAGGACATATTTATACCTGTACGCACTTCGGTGTGCTGAAAAATTTACAGTTGATTAATCTACATGAAAGAAAGCTATATTTAATATAAATTTCAATCTTCTCTCAGCACGTACTGTGAAAATCAATGTGCTCACGAAACAAGTATTCTCCATATTTCACGGGAATATATTGCGATTCCACTTGTATGACGAAACATCGCGCCGCGATGGGAAAAGATTTGATGGCAACTATGCTAGTTGAAAGTATACCATGATCGATGAATCGTTAATAGTCCGACTTGTGACCCGTAATGGGCTAACGCTATTCGTCGGATGATGTCGTACGTTGTAATTAGAAAGGAATAAGGATCGCGACAGACGATGAGAGAGGGAAGGTGGAGATAGATAGCGCGAAAGAGCTAGACTCTAAGGTTTCTAATGCACCGATCACCGCCTGGGGACCGACCTTAATCCATCGATTTGTCCGCTCGCTAACGTCATAGCTTCCATTCCCGGCCTCCTCTCTGTCCCGAAGGAGAAAATGCAACGCCAATTTCCTCCGCCTCGCGAGAGAAGAGATGCGCTTCATGGGACAAAGAGAACATTCTGCGTGTCGTTGATCGACGCTCCGGGCACAGCTTCGCGACGCGCTTCAATTGTGATTCTCGTTAACAGATCTCTTGGTTTGTTCTCTTTTCGACCGGACCGGTTTGACGTGAGCTCGCGTTCTTTCTCCGCCGGGAGCGAAAGAACAAGTAAAAAATGAACGGTCGTTCTATAATTTATACCGTAGGTATATCCTCGAGCATCCTATCACTCGATTACCGCAACACTGGTCAGTTAATTCTTTTTTTTCAAACGTGACTGCGTAAAGACAATTTCTTCTTCCTTTCTTGGTAAGCGTGCACGCGAAGAGCTTGTTTTTGCGAGATGAATTATCCTCTCAAGGCTGAAGAAGAATACCCGGAATGGAAACAACATCTATCATCATCGCGTTCCAGCTAGATACCGGCCAGACCTTCATTGTGATTTATTTGAAGATGAATTGATACTCTCCTCCAGCAGTAGAAACTCGGACATTTAATGTAGCGCTAATCATTTATCTTCGTGATCTCATATTTCACCTCTTCTTTATACTCTTTTCAAAAGTAATGTAATTTCTGTGCAGCTTATAACACTATAAACAGCATCCAAGTTTTACATACATTCATGTACAAATATTTTACATCTTTCTTTAAAAATTTCAAGATAAAGTACTAAGGAACATAGTTAACGCTCCTCGATACATAAGAATGACCTACACAGAAATCTGAAGATGGAAATACTTACTGATGAGATCAGGAAGGTAGCGAGGAAAGATTCCGTACAACTATAACAATGCTGAAGCATTGTTAGACAACAGAGGAATAACAAGGAGACTCAAAAGAGTGAAATTTCTCGAACTAATTTGAACTAAAAAACTAAGTGGCATGAAAGAAAAAGAATTTGTGCATATTTAATTAGATTGTCAAGACTTTACTAGAAATAAATTACGTTAGTTTATAGACTAGTTGTAATAAGTCATTCGTTAAAAAAAATTTTTTTTTAATTGAGCGCGACATCATCGGCCTGCACACTGATGATTCCCATCCGCGTGATCTCTAGTTGGGACTAGTGTCTCTCTCGAAAGCTTCTTCGCCGAAGATACGCATGATACAAGTCTCAACGAGCCAGAACACCAAAGAAACACGCGATCACTCGTAAAACACGCCGCCCATCCCTGTCGGCCCGTATAACGTGCAGTACATTCTGCCGGTCGGAAAGTTGGATCATGTTGATCCTTCGAGGATCGTCTGCCCGAGCTCCCGTTACCTTAAGTAGGTAGTTCCACGACGACCAAAACGAGGGAAGTTTCGCGTTTGTTCCTGAAACCGCGTAGTAACTGGCCCGAAGGAGTAGTGACTTCGGTCCTCGTCGCGTCTCACGCCTGCCAGATAGACTTGCAGCCTCTTCTTCTCACAGAACCATCCCCGAGAGCTGGAGAGGACTTGAATAATGATACCGGAGCGTCTGAATGGACAGATTTAGGGACGGCTCGTATCGCTTTACCAGCCAATTCGGCGAGTCGAAAGCGCTGCGATGCTACCTCTGCCAACTTCATTAAACCAATCCCTCGAATCTGTCTTGTTCAATTTCATTGTTAATTATTTTCAATCACGATGCTAGCGCGAGCTAATCCGATTTGATAATGCAATCGACTTTTTCGCATAAGAACGGCGCTTACTTCAAATTTGCAGTTTTATAAATTAAGTCTGTTTGTACAGGAGATAAATGGCTAGATAGTCTTGTTCGAGAGAACCATTCCGCTAATAATGTTACATTAAGGTATTAGATTTTATGATAATAACATTTGTGGGTGTGTTATAGGTACCTATAAAGTAGACATTAATTAAACCGCATAAAAAAAATAAGAAAAAAAAAAGTGTTTGGTAAGTACAGTCACATAGTGATATAGTTGTTTCTGTATAACTGTAAACACATAAAAATAATTATTATAAATTATGATTAAAGAAACTATATTTTTTTTATTAAATTCTACGGTAACGTTAGTGATAATAATTTTATATTATGTTATTACTTTCGTGTTGAAAAACCCCAAAAATATGGTTGGGGCCAAAAAAATACAATTTTAGATGAACTATTTTTTCTCTCAGTGTACAGTATGCGATGAGAATAGCGGTAGCGTTTGCCTTTGCGATCTTCAGTGTTCAATTCGTCTACATCAGCCGTGGAGCCGTGAGAAAGACCGATGTCCCGATGAATTCTTGATGAAAACTGAGTGGATTGGCTTTTTACGATCATGCTACCGCAACCGGGCAAGCCACGAGGAATCGTAAATTGCACATACTAGTAATTACTCGACAAATGAGATTACGGTTGGACTTGTTCAAATGGTTACCAATTGAAAGCCTAGATCCGGAATATTTAAATGTCACATGGTAAATTTTATGTTGCCGGCTTTAAATTCGTTTAAAGCGCAATTCGAAACATCGCAGCTTTCATCTCATTCCGCAGCTTTACGGCAATCATCATGCTGCATTAATTAATCGCGTTAATCGCATTCGTCCACGCGTATCGCCTAGAAAGATACCATCCGATACAATTAAACGGAGAGAGAAAGAGTCTCTATCTTTTCTTGAAATTGATAAAAATTCCCATTATATCTACGGTTATAAATTATTTATAACACAGTTCAATAATTGATTATTATTCAATATATTAAGTTAAATGATTATAAATTTACAAGTAGCAGTAAGTGACATTAATTATTTTCGTAATTATTACTATATATTGCATTTATAATACATTATGACATGTACATGTTAGCAAATGATCATTTTTAACTTATACAGGAGGCAGATCTTGTTAGCTAAATAATTCAACCTTTACCAACCCTGAAACTATCGTATTTAAGCGTCTCGAATATCGTAGACAGATTAATGCGCTACTAAACTTACCCTGACGATACATCCGCATATATGCATACGTCTGCGTTAGACGAGGCTTTATAGTGTCTCTAAATTTTCCCCGATAAAATCGGCGAAATTTATAACCTTCCACGAGAGCTAAAGTGCGCGCTCTAATCCTGCATTAGAGTGACTACGCATACAAGAAGAATGAGGGTATAAACTTTTCGCGAGGTGGAAACCGTAAGTAACGATCGCGTGTAATCTTGAAAGAGACGAATTCTCGGCGCGCCGTGAAGTATTCGAATAACAAATAAAAGAAAGAAAATGCGGAAATCTTTATAGATTATGTGAGAACGTTACGTGTGACGTTACACCAAGAAAAGAATGTTTGTTACCATAATCACGCAGAGAAATAATTACCGTGGACAAGAAAACTATTTTTTTAATTAAATTTTGCTATAATGCTGATGATAATTACCTTATATGCATGCTATATCGCTATCATTTTACTACAAAAAGTGTAAGCCAGAAATAACAATAATTGTAGTTAGATCAACTATTCTTTTGCTCTCAGTGCAGCTAACGCAATCCCGACATGACGGTAACAACGGCGTTTTACAATTAAGGAGCATTTAGAAAGTCCATTTTTTTCCGACGCAATTTCCGACATGCAGAAACTGAAAAGCAGCCGTAGAAAACTTGATTATTTAAAAAGCTATTACGATTACCGTCTGCTGCTAAATGCGATTACTGGCGTGGGTTGCGAGCGTGACTTGTTGTGCCAACGCAAATGGCTGAACGCGTGGTTAACACAATGGATGTATAAAGCGAGGTATATAATACTATTATGCGCCTACTACGTAATCACGATTCGCCGTGCGCGTTTGCGAGGCTAATTGGCAGCAACGATTTACGTTCTTACAGCTCTAAAGCTGCTTTTTTTTTTTTTTTATTGCGTCGCCGTTTGTTTTATCGGGTGTAAGTCCAGTGCTCCATGATTAGAAGCGTAATCGGTTATTGTGGAAGCGGTCCGACGGCGGGCACACATTTACACAGGGCGATTAAACGTTCAATTACCAGCACGATGACTACGCTTATACAGGTTTTGCGCGGCACACCTGCAATTCGAAGTCTCGGACTCGTAAGCTGATACATGAATTTAAACGACTGGTCGGACGCTGCAAATTAATCCTTTCCGCTCGTATTATTCCGATCGGTTTAGCGACACTGCTGTGAATTGACACGTATCAGCGCTATCACGCTC